AAAAAAGCCAACACAGTGCTAGGCTGCATTAACAGAGGGATAGAATCAAGATCATTAATACCACTTTACAATGCCTTGTTAAGGCCACACTTGGAATACTGCATCCAGTTTTGGTCACCACGATGTAAAAAAGATGTTGAGACTCTAGAAAGAGTACAGAGAAGAGCAACAAAGATGATTAGGGGACTGGAGACTAAAGCATATAAAGAACGGCTGCTGGAATTGGGTATGTCTAGTTTAACGAAGAGAAGGACGAAGGGGGACATGATAGGAATATTCCAATATCTCAGGGGCTGCCACAAAGAAGAGAGAGTCAATCTATTTTCCAAGGCGCCTGAAGGCCAGACAAGAAGCAACGGATGGAAACTAACCAAAGGGAGAAGCAACCTAGAACTAAGGAGAAACTTCCTGACAGTTAGAACAATTAACCAGTGGAACAACCTGCCTCCAGAAGCGATGAATGCGCCAACACTGGAAGTTTTTAAGAAGAAACTGGACAGCCATTTGTCCGAAATGGTATAGGGTTTCCTGCCTGAGCAGGGGGTTGGACTAGGTGACCTCCAAGGTCCCTTCCAACTTTATCATTATTATTATTATTTCCCTTGGCTTTCCCAGGTGGCTTATCACCTCCTCATTTCTGATCTTATCAACCTTTCATCTTGGTACCATCACTATAAAAAATACAGAAGCCTCTCCTAATACCTGGTTTATATAACCAGTGGTTTATCGAGAAGGGATTTAATGTCCCTTTGCCTCTCTGTCCTTGTGCTGTTGGTCAGGTGGAGGACATTATTCATTATATCTTCCACTGCCCCATTTACAGTGAAATCATGACCAAATTATTGAACTCAAGGGCTCAGACCTCAAAAATGGAACTGTCTTCTTGCAGATAAGATGCAAAAACCAGGTTGCTACTTTTTCTCTGCTGTCATTTAACTCTACTATTCTAGTGTTAATTAATTTTGCTTTATGGTATGTTTTCACCTGTTAACTACAGTAAAATATTTATAGCAAAGGAATGGATATAAATGATAAATGTGGTAGTACAGTAATGAAAGCTTGAGAGAATTACTGAAGGAAATAAGGTTGATTAGGTGCAGGCAGGCCGTTGTTTGGTTATTTAGGATCATTGGAACAAATTAGAGTGAAAGTATATGGAGTGAAGTGATAATGTTGTTATGGAAGTCGTTAAAAAGGGGCAGACAAGGTTACTCCAGTAAATTTGAATACACACAATTTAGAAAGTGCAGTGGGGCTATGCTAGGCAGAGGTTTTGAAGATGGGAGTTTTGCTCTTCAGTAGGAAGAATTAAGAATTATGAGAATGTGGCAACGCTTTTTTCATGTTTGTTCCTTTAGAGAAAGTATATGGTAAAGTAAATAGACTTGAATTATGTTTTGTGCAGATAGAGAGCTGAAGGTTGGCTGTTGAATGTGATAAGAGTTTTGTTTTGTTACAGAAGTCATGTATGCATAATTTGAATAATAAGTGTACGTAGTGAATGGTTCAGTATAGCACAGAATAAGACAATTATATGTGATGTCCTTTAGGTTGTTCAATATATTTATATACAAATATGCAAGGAATCTTGGCAATATTAGAGGTATTGTTTAAGGATGCAAAAGTACATATGTTATGCAGAAAATATTCACTGCATGAATATGCATTGGGGAGTATAAATCTGAAAATTAATGTATCAAGGTCCATGTTGATATTTGACAAAAAAATGAATAAATAATTGTAAGATATTCCATTGTGAGAAAGAAACCAAGGGCAGGTAAATTAATTCATTACCTCATGCTTAATTTTTTAGCTTTTTATTTTTACTTCTTCATTGCATAATATTGCTTACCTAAAAAAAACCAGTTATGTGGTGAGTGAGTGTGCGTGTATTAATATGTTATGAGAAACTGAACACAGATAAATGATTTTAAAAATTTTAGTAGTACATATCTAAATTAAATGATTTCATTGTGGTAGAGTTGTCATTTAATACCTTTGAGTCTTTGTTCATTGAATATTCACAACTTGGCTGTAGCACTGCCAAAATTTTGCTGACTTAATTCTGTCTATAATTCAAACAAATGTGATTTCTTGAAATATGTCACACATTCACAATATTGAAGGGTTCTTTAAATATTTGTATGTGCTTCTTTTCAGTCCTCCACTCATATCACATTTTGAAGAGGTAGCCAGTCTGTTGATCCAGATTTGGGTTTAGCAAAGTTCTGCTGGCTGTGAAGGAAGAGGAAGAAATGCTAATTTCCTCCAATTCCACCAGTCTTTGGAAACTCCACAAGCCACTCCGTGTAGCTCTGGAGTTGCTCCTCCAGAATTAGAATGAAATATGGTTTTGGACACGAAGTAAATGGCAGAAAAAGAGAACTTTTAAAATGATTAACATTTTAATTTAGAAAGACTGATCCTGGAAACAAGGCACTTGATATTGAAGTGTCTTAGCCATCTTTTCATAAGAAAGAAACATGAATAAAAATCAAAGATTCTCTTGAATCACCTCAGCTGTGGTTATTCCTATGGTGGTTTTGCTTAATCAGTCTCTGTGTTTTTGCCAGGCCCGGGATGGCAGCTAGTTAGTTAAGTCCCCTGTGTTTGGTGAGAAATAAGAATTCTATGTCCCATTTTGCAGCTTAAGTTTTTGTATGTAAAAAGAAGACATTCTACTTTGTATGAATGAAAACTGTGACTTGAACATTATAATTCAGTATTAGTCAATCCATTGTAAGGCAGAACGTTATGTTTTAAAAGATATGGGAAGCAAAGTAAGGGGAAAAGTAAAGAAAGTGGGATTGTTTTGTCAAAAAATGAGTAATGTATGAGAACTAGAATGGTAATTTAGAAATAGCCAACATGGGTTTGTTAAAAACAGAACATGCTAAACCAATCTTATTTCATTCTTTGATAAAGTGACCAAATCAGTAGACCAGCGAAATGCTGTGTACATAGTATACTTAGATTTCAGTAAGGCATTCAGCAAAGTAGACCACAATCTACTGCTTGATAAGCTAGAAAAAGATGGAATAGACAACATCACCACCAGATGGATTTGTAGCTGGCTGACAAACCGTACTCAATGAGTAGTCCTCAAAGGTACTACATCCACATGGAGAGAAGTAAACAGTGGGGTACCACAAGGCTCTTTCTTAGGCCCAGTACTCTTCAATATCTTCATCAATGACTTAGATGAGGGAATTAGAAGGGGAACTCATCAAATTTGCAAATGACACTAAATTGGCAAGAATAGCCAACACCCGAGAAGACAAGCTCAGGATTCAAAAAGATCTTGACAAACTTGAACAATAAAATGAGTTTTAATGTGAAGAAAAGCAAAGTTTTACATTTAGGCAGGAAAAATCAAAGGTATAAGTACAGATTAGGTGAGACCTTGCTCAAAAACAGTAACTATGAGAGGGACATTGGAGTCCTAGTGGACGATCACTTGACTATGAGCCAGTAGTGTGCGGCAGCAGGCAAAAAAGCTAATGAAATCCTGGGTTGTATAAACAGAGGCATAGAATCAAGATCACACGAAGTATTAGTACTGCTTTATAAAACCCTAGTGAAACCACACCTGGAATACTGCAACCAATTTTGGTCACCATACTACAAAAAGATGTTGAGACCTTGGAAAAAGTTCAGAGAAGAGCAACTAAAATGATCAAGGGCCTGGAGACTAAAACATATGAAGAACGGCTGCGGGACTTGGGTTTGGCTAGTCTAAAGAAAAGAAGAAATAGAGGAGACATGATAGCAGTATTCCAGTATTTGAGATGCTGCCACAAAGAAGAGGGGGTCAAATTATTCTCCAAAGCATCAGAGGGCAGGACAAGAAACAATGGTTGGAAACTGATCAAAGAGAGAAGCAACCTGGTATTAAGGACAAAGTTCCTAACAGTGAGGACAATTAACCAGTGGAACGGCTTGTCTTCAGAAATCATGGGCACTCCATAACTGGAGGTTTTTGAGAAGAGAATGGACAGTCACTTGTCTGAGATGGTATAGGTTCTCATGCTTGAACAGGGGGCTGGACTAGAAGACCTCCAAGGTCCCTTCTAGCTCTATTCTATTCTACAGATATAATCTTGAATGATAAGGAAACTCAAGTAGTTGGTTCCTGACAAAACATTCTACTTATTCAGTTAAATGTACGGAAGTTTATGATGAGAATAAACTCAACATGAGGATAAGCATTTTGGCCCACTTAGTTCTAAGTCAATAAATCTTTACCTGGACTGGCAAATTTCAGATTGCAGACAAGATTTCCATCTATATGCATAGCTATAAATCTTATTTAGATAAAAACAAAAGCTTTGAAAAATGGGTCGTATCCTAGCCTTTTCATATTGTGCTAATATACATGCAGGACTTTGTTTCTTAAAACTAGGGAGGCTTCTGTCAGTAATTAGAAAAGATGCAAATTTTAATTCGGGGATGCAGATAACTAGGATTTTGTGTGTGTGTGTGTGTGTGTGTGTGTGTGTGTGTGTGTGTGTGTGTGTTGTATATTTACTCCACATAAGCACAGCCTTCATCAATCAATTTTAATCTTCCAGGATTTCTTTAAAATCCTGATCCATGAAGAAAATGTTTTTTTCTTGTTAAGTTACAAGTATTGTGATTTCATGTTGTTTCATTGAAGATGCTTTGTGAACAATACCAGGTTTCATTTCAGTCAGTGGACTGACTTTTTAACAGATGTCTTTATGATTGTAGTCAACCAAAATTCTTTTTTATTAGGGCAAGCACTATCTACACATTTATATTGAACCTTTTCTTTTATTTCTTCCTTTTAATTCACATATTTCCAAATTCAGCCCACAATTTTCTTTACTATATTCTTCTTCTGAGCTTTTGCTTTGCAGCACTGTATTTTCCTGTGCAGGAATAACAAAAGTTGGGATGTTGCCAAATTTTCATTTCTGAAATGAAAAGAACAATATCACTGCCAATTTTCATTTTTTAACATCCTCTTTCATATTTAGTATCTTCACTGCAGCTAAAAGAGGAATTGATAGATGGAGAGGAATACAGCTTTCTTCAAGGAGCTTCTGATCAGGAAAGCAATGGATCAGCCAGCCAGTACATCAAGCAAGAACCCTAAGGGTAAATCTGAACAGGATGGTACAAAACAAGGCTTCCTTAAGACTGATGTTCCCATTCAGATGTTACCATTTGATGGCTTCTACTAAGGGCACTTTGCTAACTGCGGTTAAGATTTCAATTCAGAATTTTTGGAGGACAAGAAAACTATTTTAGTGGGGGGGAAAGAATTTTCAATTTATTAAAAATTGACATGTTTGTGTTGTATTTGAAGCTTTTGAAAGAATTTTTGTAATATTTTCAAGTTCAGATTGTTAAAAAAAAAGATACTCTAATTTTTTGGTAAGAATTAAAAAGCTTAATTATAGCAGGATTGCAGGAAACCCTTTGAGGAAGATGAGATGGTAGAATAGTTGAAAACACAAATGAACTGTTTGTGATGAGTGAACCTTCTGGTACAAGCTGGGAGCTTCTGAACTGAAAAGCTACACTAGTCATGCCCTGTCTTTTCCTCAGTGACATCATGAGACACGGTGATGAAGCGTAAGAAAAGAAATTGAAAGGATGGAGTATTAAAATGTTTTCTCCTGGCACAGTGATATACTGACAAATCTGCTTAAGATTTTGGAGAATTAAGCTTTGGTCTTGTCTTCATTAAAGTTATTGAGGCTGTTACTTGTTAATATTTTGAAGTACTGAGATATTCACACAGATGATCAGCAAAGCTCCCATATGTCAACTGGTATATGGGACATTTTGTTTTTTCTTGTGCAAGGAACTGAAAGCTCTTTTTCTAGTGAAACAGCAACAGATTTGATTTCCATCCTGATGGAAGACACACCCTGAAACGATGCAGCAGTCGGCTCCTGAAGACGGCATTACTCTTCTCTACACATTTGGAAGAACTTTTGATTGTTGCAAACTGAGCTGGTTTGCCCGAAGATGCTTTGGAGCCTGTGTTGAACACAGTATTTTCTTGGCTGCTGATACCTTTCTCAAGAATTTGTCATAACTAGTGTGGCATGAATGCTGAATTTCTTGGAAACTGTTCCTGGATAGTTAAATCTGTATGGAAGTTAACAGATGGAATCATTCACAGAACTTTAAAATGTTGACATTTCCATTCTGGTGTCATGACGGGATGATATATGTCACAGAGTTTTGCTTTTACCAGTAAGGTTCATTTACTAAACTCTCAGGAATTAACTGCTTATATTCTGTAATTGCTTCTGGGTCATAGCAAGTCGACTTTAGAGCAGTCTGTCTGATTCTTGTTTCAAGGGTAGGGTTTAGAAAAAAATTAATTCTATAGATTAACCTCTACACCCTTTAAATCTAATGCTTTATGACTAGCAACTCTCCAAGCCCCAGAGACAATTTTTGGCATATAAATGTTTTAAATTTTTAAACGCATAGAAAGTTGAAAACCAGCAATTTTGATTATTTTCTTATCTTTGTTATTGGGTACATACCATTTGTGATATGCAAAGGTTTACCACATTCTATGCAAGAGGGGATAATGGTGTAAAATTTTGTAGTAACTTCTGGAAGTACATTTTTTTCCTGTATTAATATAGGACTGTATGAAACAATTCCTACTCTTTTTTTTTCTTTTTTCTTTTTTACATAGCTGGGCCATTGTTGAAAACTGCTTCATGTATGCATTTAAAAAACTGAGTATCGAGTGTCAAATATTGTGAATATAAGTGGAAACTGCATACTGTATTGTTATGTCTCTAAAAAGATTATGTTCATTATCCTTAGAAGTACAAGGGGCGATCTGGGCTTAGCTGATCTGCCTTCTTCCTTCTTTTCCTCTAGGAATATATTTCTCTCCCTCATTCACAAGTGCTCCATTACAGCTGTTTTTCAAACTTCCCTGGTTTACAAAGCAGTTCATGATGCTACAAAAAAAGAGCTGCTCTTGGGGGAGGGGAGCAAAAAGCTGTATCATGTTTGTGTGTACCCAGATGCGCGCACACGTACACTCATATGCATGCACACTTAAGGATTCCCTGAATCACAGTAATTTTGAAATCATAATTCAGGCATCAGTCCCTTAGCACAGTATTTCTTAGGCCAGTGTCTCCCAAATGTAAATGATCCATGTCATCAGGCCGTTTACCTGTAGGATAGAATCCTTCAAAAGCAAGATGAGATTCCAGAAGGAATTGCATCGAAAACTGAGTGATCCATATTTTTTTTCCATCTCAGATCATAATTCTGTCAGCCATGCTCACCTATAATAATGCAGAACTGATAGGATGAATGTTGTGGTTTGTAAAGGCCACTGTATAATAACTGCATTGTCAGAGACTCTTGAGGACTTGCAGAATAACATTTATATACCAGGTTCTTCTGATTTTTATCAGAAAGATAATATTACTGTGAAAAAGACATCCTGAGTAAGGTCTGTATTAATGGCTTTTGCCTTGAGGCCAGCATAAAAACTTGGACTTATGTAGAAATTGATTCTTGTTTAGTTATACGATCTAAACAAGCTTGAACCAAAAGAACATACATTTAGGCACAGTTACTCCCAATTCCTAGTGGACACACATTGTGTGTATTTTGTATCTGTAGGATTGGCAGAAAATCATGAGGTGCAGTAGTGTTTCCCCATTCCTGTGCATGTTATGATTGGAGAATTTCACTAATTTCTGTCAGTCTTACATTGGAATGGCCTTTGTCCAGATGAACAGATGCCCTCTTCTACCTCGGAATATGGCAGCTCCTGAAAAAACCCACAACTACATTTAATCCCTACCACATCAGCTGAGAACCTGATGTTGAACCAGCAATTCTGCAAGATGTTAGAAGACCTATAATTATGTTTGGGAGAGAATGGCCTTGATTACTGCTATAGTGCAGGTTCTCTGATTTTTGGAGATAACTTACACATTTATGTCAAGTAGGTACTGCTATCCTTTCAGGATTTTCATTCTCCCATTTCTACATCCTGATACATGTACCTGATTAAATGAAAACCTAAATATGAAAACTTTTTTCAAATCTTGAAATTCTTTTTCCATGAAACCCTTGAGTGACACCTTTTACACATTAGTTGTTCATTTGTCTTTTTTCTTCAGTGTTCATTCTGAGTAATGTTTATGTGTGGCCTCTTAAAAAACAGCAACCAGATGACTGTAAACTTTTAGTACCATTGGTTCATTTTTTTAATGATTTAGTTCTAACATCTCCAGTTTGCTGTGAACTAATTACCACCAATAAACTGGGATGGAATCAGATTGGAGGGGCTAAGTGGATATTGCTTTGAGACTTGTACTTCTGCTGTGGGTCAGCTAATATTACAGTATTTGGCACAAGGCAGGATCTTTTTAAATAAGGCACCATAGGCAAGGTAAATTACATTGCAAGGGCTCCTTTGTACAGCTCAGAATATTACATCTTTTTCACGCTTTAAATTTCCTTGCTGAATCAGAGGAATACAAAAGCAGTTATCGACTTCTTGTTCTATTGATACTAACACGGGTTTCAGTGTTTGTTTGTTTTTATTGTTGTCATTTTTATGTGATGTGAACACCTATTCCCATCAATATTTGTATTATGGTGCTAATATATTGGTAACAATCCTTTATTGGAAAGGGATTAAAACTGTGATTAAATTGATTTTTTTTAATTTTCATATTTAAGTGAAATCTCAGCCATTTATATAAAAAAGGAAAAAAAAGCATGAGCTTCTGCCTCTGGGAAAATGATCAAGGCAGAGGTTAAAAATGGTTTTTACATCATTTCTGTATGTATTTGATATATAGATCACTATCTGTATAAATTTAATCTTTTATTTTCTTGGTTATTTGTGTGGTCAAATGGGAACATTTAAAACCTCTAATGTACATAACTCAGTGAAAATTGCTTTTGAAGAAATTAATGTTACTTTCATTTTTAACAGACTGCAGATTTTCAAGCATGGATGTGAAAAAGCATTAAGAATATAACTTTGTGTACAAGATGAAAATAATTCACTAAATTTGCCTTTTTTACACAAAATAAAAATGTTAAAAAGAAGACCAGGTGGTAAATTTTGTCTCAACGGGGGTCAAGAATATCTTTTAAAATATTGATATAATGAAGTATCCCCATTTCATTATCATTAAGAGATAGGTCTGCATTAATTCAAGCTTGTTAAAATGTTTCTAATGATAACTCTGATCATTGGAAAGAAATGTCAAATTAATTTTATTTGTTTCGTGGAGTGAAGTGTAATTTTATTTGTGACAGGCCCAGTACTGTTCCTTACATCCTGTTTCTCTGAATGTAGCTTTAGTTTACCCCTAATCTGCCCAACCAATGTTTCAACCACAAATTTCTAATTTTAATCTTTTCTCTAGCCAGTAGGTATCATTTTGCATCAATTTTGCTGTTAGTCAAAGATTCATGGAAGACATCATGAAGTTTTTCACTACAGGTCTCTTTTGATGGAGATTTTCCTGGGCTAGGGAAGCAAATATTGTGGTGCAGAAAGACTGTTCTTATTGCAAGTAACAGTAAAACAACCTGCTTAGAAGATACACAATTGCTAAATAAAAGTGTCTGAAAATGTACCTCAAATTAAGAACTGCAAAATAGTTTACGGGCCATAAATATTATGACTATGATTTAGGAATTACTTGAGTTTTTCACCATAAAACCACAAATCAAGTAGTTTCTTTGCCCATATAGTTACTGGGATTATACAGTCCTTATTCTCCAGCCCTGGATATGATTAGGAACGCTCAGTTGATTAAAAAAGATTTTCAGAATGAACATTGTTATTTTATTCCATCTCTATCAATGCAGTTGAATATTTCATACTTTAGAAGGTTACACACATCAAGTAGCACTACATCAACTTTCTAAGATGTTATTGCATTACAGGAGAAATACACGAAGCCATTGTTTCCACTTTCCTGGATAGCCTATAGTGGAGGTCCACACAACTTGTAAGATGGGAGGAACCACAGCAGCCTATAAAGCTATAAAGGAATACCTGGTGTGCTGATCAGTAGTAATGCAGGATGTAGAGAGGTTTGGGGGCACTTAGCAGCATTCTTTGGGGCCAGGAGTGAGTTTATTTTAAAATATGCCACCAGGCCATGCAAGGCCATTTGGTGGGCCATGCTGTGCAGTCCTGGGAAGAATGGGAATCGCTCTTATGGCTAAGTCGTTCAATAATCTTAAGTTTCCAGAAACAAAATTCTGACATACTGAAAAATATTGGGCACCAGAATCAATTCTGTGGCAAGTGAATTCTGCTGCTTAAGATTGGAGATATGTACTATAGGTAGTCCTCAACTTACAACAGTTCATTTAGTGACTGTTCAAAGTTGTAATGGCACTGAAAAAAGTGACATGACCATTTTTCATATTTATGACTGTTGCAGCATCCCCATGGTCCCGTTTTACATTTGGGTGCTTGACAACTGTCTCGTTTATGGTGGTTTCAGTGTCCCACAGACATGTGTTCCCCTTTTGCAACCTTCTGACAAGGAAAGTCAATGGGGAAATCAAATTCATTTAACCGTTACACTAATTTAACAACTGCAGTGATTCAATTAACAAATGTGACAAGAAAAGTTGTAAAATGGAACAAAACTCACTTAACAAATTTCCCACTTAGCAACATAAATTTTGGGCTCAGTTGTCATAATTTGAGGACTACCTGTATTTAAAGATATTTTATTGGTAACTGGTATTTGCTTACCATGTACTTTCATCCACTCTACAAAAAGCAAAAGAAAAGCAGCTTTAGAACGATCACTACTGGCCGAGAACAGTTTTTAGAAGTGAATTTTGATTATGCAGGTGATATAACATGTTCTTGTTGTGGAAAGCCCAGTGTGAATTGATGATGTTATAAAATAATATTACAGAAGTGTAGAATTTGCAGATTGTGTAGAAGGTATGATTCCCTTGAGTGATGCTGGACTGTGTGTGCTTTTCTCTGGAACAATATGGAACTGGTTTGCCACTGCCTTCTTCTAGAATGCATTTTCGGTTCCTCAATCTACTACACCAGTGGTTCTCAACCATTTTAATGCCGTGACCCCCAACCGGTCATAAGTCGAGGACTACTCAACTGGTGCAGCACGTTTGCAGAATGGGACTTTTGGCGGGCTCAGCAGGGCAGAGACAGCCTGGACAATTCCTATTGGCTTTTGAAAGCCAATAGAATTAGACTCTATTCAAGAGAGTCTATTCTATTGGCTTTCAAAAGCCAATAGAATAAAAGGGAGTAGCACAGCTAAGGAAAAGGGGAAAAAAATGGCGGACTGCGTTGTTTGGTGACCCCCGTGAAATGGTCGTTCGACCCCAAATGGGGTCCCGACCCACAGGTTGAGAACCACTGTACTACACCATCCTGGGATTCACTAGTGGTCTCCCATTCAAGTTCTAACCAGGAATTAGCCTACCTAGTTATGTGCTGTTGCAAGATCCTTCCTTATAAAATGCAACACATTTGATATTCAGAGTGTTCTGATCTAGTTGAAAGCACTACAGATGCTTCAAGTATGTCTCTGTTATAGCCAAAACAGCTTGTCTTGAATTCAATTCGAATTTTTTAGCATGTCTCTCATTTGTATTTATTGAAGATCTTTTTAAAATGACAACATGTACCACGAATACACTTCAAACAATTCACACATACCTTTTCATTTCTTTAAAGACAAGAACACTTATTTGTTCATGATGCCTTTATTTCATAGTGTCAATCAAGGAAGTAACTATGCTAACTGCTCCCATGAAATGTAAGGGTGGAATGAAATGACTTGTTGAAAGAAGGCACGACTCCTCTGAAGGACTACTTCACTCATAAATCCATTCTTGAGCACAAGATTTGTAATCCACAAGTTCTTCAGGCTGGAACCACAGACTGATTTCATTTTGCGCACTCTCCACAGAGTCACTGCCATGAATGATGTTCCTTTAGAGAAGACAAAGGTGTTAGGATATTTGGAGAAGTAGTTAAAGAAATAAAGACTGCTTGTAGCTAAGTTTATTTTTAAATTCCATCATACATTTGTAAGATGAAAGTACCATCCATAATCAAATTATTACTAACCACTCAAGTCTGATGGTTGTATAAGCTATTTACAGTAACAGCATAGTATTCCAGCTGTAGTTAAGTTTATAGTCATGCATGCTTTTGCCAAACTTCAGCTTGTGCATCAATGCTTGACAAAGATTAAATTGACACTCCTGACAAAATACTAATATCTAGCCTGCTTTCCTTTAAAAATATTTTCAATTAATTGAGTTATCGAGTTGTTTGGGGGCACACTTCAAAGTGTTAGCAATCACTTTTAAATCAGTCAAGGTCTAATTTAAAGGTTTGGGTCAAATTCTTAAGAACTATCTCCTTGTTTAAAATGTAGACAGTGTTTCTTAAACTTTGGCCATTAGAAATCAATAAATAAAAATCTGGGGATTTTGCAATGGATAAAATACCTTTATTCCCTACATTTTGTTTTTAAGAGGATGGAAGATCCCATTTAGTGAATAAGATGGATTATACAATTGTTGCATTTATGTACTCTTTCCTCTTCCCTGTTTGAGGGCCTTTTGAAAGTAAATTTTATTTTATACCAAACATAAAATTAAGAATTGCTACTTCAGTTACTTTATGTTTGCCATACAACAACAACTCTTTAACACCAACTTGCTAGTCAAAAGGGAGTTTCAATAGAAATCATTCAGCACTTGGGGGTGAGTGAATCTCCAGCACAATATAGCACCACCTTTAGATATTCTTTACCACATTTTATATTTGGGGCTTTTGGAGTATAAGATTACAATTCCTATTAGCACAAAGCACTTGGACTTGCGCTTGAGGCCTGCTAACTATTGTTAGATTTCTGAATATTTATACCTAAACATTGATTAGTAGTGTATTTTATAAATTTGTTAGTACCATTAAGTGCTATATAAACATTAGCATAACAGGATCAATATTTTATATACATTAATTGTATCTGACATTACTTTTGAAGCAATTTTTGATTTCTAGCAGGGCTTTCGATAATCTATAAGGAGTAAATTGCAGCACCAACCTGCCCACTTGAATACAGAAATCTCCACGAATGGTGCCTGGCTTGGAATCTGCTGGATTGGTTTCTCCCAGCATTACTCTGCCTGTCTTCACAACATTAAGTCCTTCCCAAACCTATAAAAACAAATAAGTTTATTGAATAGGTGCAAATACGATACTGTCAGAATGAATAGTTGTGGGCTTTATCGTATTATACATATATTTAAAAGTCATATACTAATATATTTTTGCTTTAGCTTTATAGACCAACTGGAATTACTAGATTTAAGAAGCTTAGCAAAGAAGGATAGCATTTGGTTTCCATGTTGGCCAGCAGGAATCATACAAACAGGAATGAAGATGCAACAGTATCTTCACACTTATGTTTACCTAATTCTGAAGTAGACCAAGTCCTATTCTGGAGCTTTTATCCAATAATAATAATAGATAACAATATAATCACCACTAAAAATCCCATTCATTGGGATTTAGTTTTCCCTTTTAAATTGCAACTGAATTTGCTATTTTACAGAATGAATTTCATGTTTCTATGCATTATTGTATAAGTTTTTGTTTTTATTTATTCCAAATCTATCATCATTCAGTTTACACAATCTTAGGCTTTAATATGATGGAATAAGGATGTTTAATTTACTCCTGGATATATTATGCGGTATCTGCTATCATATCCCCTAACCCTATCCCCCTGCTTTGGATATTATGTGCAAAGTTTTCTAGTCCAGGAATGAAACCTGCTTGTCTCATGTGGATAAATCCCATCAAAATGTTATTACCGTCACAGACCAGATGTCCAATATATTAAATAAAGCCTATCATATAATAAAAAATACAAACTCATACAGAGCACCATAAACCACCTTGTTCAGGGAATTAACTTCCCCCAAACCACCACACCATTCCTGAAATGGGCAGAATGCTATGGTCCAAAGGAGAAAATAGCAATCCTTTGCTAGAACAATACTTTAAAAATACATGTAGC